CCCCCCAGCTCCGCGCGGCTCCCTGGCCACGAGCCCCGCTCCTCGGTGGGCCTCGCAGCCGTCAGGGGCTCCGCGGCACCGGGAGAGGCAGGGCTCGTGGAGTGGGACGGGGGCGCGGGCCTGGGGAGAGGCATCCTGGGAGTCCCGAGCTTGGGGGTCGTTTCCCCGGGGGAAGCACCCCTCGAGGATGACACTGAGGAATAAAGTGAGCAGAGGACGGATAATTGGTGACGAATGTCGGGGGCTGTCCTGGCAGTGCCCAGACCGCCCCACCATCAGCCCCAAGTTCATAATAACGGAGCATCCACTGGCTGGGGACCAGGCCCGGGGGTGGGGAGGGGAGCGAGGATGCCAGGATGGAGAAGAGAGACAAGATTCCTGCCCGAAGGAGTGGTGAGAGTCTAGTTCAGACAAGACCTGAGAAATGATAGGTGAGACGTTTACAGCTTTGTCAAGTGGGGAAACCTTACCCTGGGGATCTCGAGGGCGCCTTGGAGGGATGTAGAAGGCAGCACTGACTGGCTGATGGGCGGCTGGGAGAAGGGCTGATCCCATGACCACAGTGGGCCATCTGCACAACAGGCCTGGGCACCTCTCAATAAAGCTCCAAAATTCTAGCCCCAAACCACTACCCCAGCACACCCAGCGCATGTTTTAACAAGCCAAGAGGAAGAGTAAAACGAATATCAAATCCTCAGGATATGCAAGAGGCTGATCATTTATTTAACTGCTTCTGGCTGCCTGGATTTTGTAACTAACCAACACTCCTATTTGACGACAGAGTTGGTTTCTGATACATGAATATAAATGCCATGTATAAAATCAGTTCTTCAAAAAAGCTCTCAAGTGTTGGTAACTAAAATCCCAGCCAAATTTGAGAGGATGGGTAAGGTTGGGAGAGATGGTGGAGTGTTACCAGCCGAGACTCACTGGACATGTTGAATTGAAATGCAATCTCTTTGTACAACTACTTCAGACTATGGGGTTAACACATCCTGGCCATCCGTGGCATCACAATGTCAAGAATCTGGGACCCCCATTCCCCCATTCCTTCAGGCACATTAGCTCACAGGGTGCCTTGATTGGTCTGCAGGGACCAGAAAGAGCTTTTGTAAGTCTGGGAGGAGGGAGGTGGAGGTCAGAACGCAGAGGACAGTCTTCAGGAAATGTCAGAGCTCTCAAGCCTTGGATCCCACAGAAGAAAATTCTTCCAGAGTCCAAGCCAGTGAAAATCCCCTAGGAACTGGATAGTTCATTTATGGAAACTTACATTGAAGATGTGCAACACCCTTCCAAGACACCAGCATGAGCCTGTAATTTACCAAGAAAACAATAGCTATCTGGAAATCCTTCAAGATTTTAAGGAAATTGTGATTTAATAACTGATTCTAGTGATTCTTGGTGTATGCCAACTAAAATGGGGGTTTCTCCCCAGAGAATAATATGGGAATTCTTCAGAATAGGAAATTTCTGTGTGGAGCAGGGCAGAGGCCACGTCAAACAGGTCAAATGAGCTATTCTACCTTGGAGTATGATCTTCGGGTTGGCAAAAACAAAACAATACAAACTAAAAAACGGGCAAAAACAAATTCAATGTCCTCAAAAATGAAGTCAGAGTGAACAATTATTTAACTTCTGGGTTACCTTGGTAACGCTGTGGGGGGAATGCAAGTTGGTAATGAAAGCTGTTAAGAAAAGGTTAAACTGCCTTTTCTGCCAGAGGTCTAGCTCGGAGGTGGCTGTGCAGAGAGCCTCGTTCAGATGTGTTGCGTTAAGATCCTCCTTTCTCACATGAGCACTCAGAAAAGCAATCAGGAATGAGGGTGTGTAGGAGCTGGGAGCTCCTACAACTAAAAAGTCTTTAACATTTTCTCCCCCTCTGTAGCAAGGTTCAGTTCTACTTCCACGTAGGGTCTTTGGAACTGTAAGGATTTGGGCTGTCCTCAAAAGTAGGATTTAGCAAAAGGATCCATTTATTCCTTGTACACATTAGAGCTTGTTTTGCATTAGAATTTTTCTTGAGACCTAGCTATCTGGCCTGGATGACAGACGGAAATAAGACTCAGGAAACACAAAGAGCCAGAGGAGGGCTGGGAAAGTGACTCAGTGGTAGAGTGCTTGCCTTGCATGTATGAGGCCCTGGGTTCAATTCCTCAGCACCACATAAGCAGAAAAAGCTGGAAGTGGTGCTGTGGCTCCAGTGGTAGAGTGCTAGCCTTGAGCTGAAGAACTGAGGGACAGTGCCCAGGCCCAGAGTTCAGGCCCCACGACCAGCAAAAAAAAAGAGCCAGAGGATGGGTGAGTACAGGACAGTTTGGCTCACTGAGATCCTAAAATAAAACTTGCACTGAATGGCTGAGTGGAACTGTGAAAGTGTGAAGGTTTGTCACCTGCATTGCCTCTAGGTGACAAGTCGTGGGAGCTTCCTCTTTTGCTCCTTTAAGTTGAAAGGCAGGAAATCTCCTGGGAAGATAAGGTCAGCTTCTGCTCTGTTGCTAGAGCTGCTGAGGTAGAGATGTGAGAGGAATATGGCAAAAGAGAAGCTGAGTTTCCACTGCAGTTCAGGATAGAGAAACTTCTAGAAGAGCAATGCCTCCTTCTGAATACTCTGCCAAAACTGACAGCTATTCTATGTCCAAAGGGGTTCCTGTTGGACATGTCAGCTGATAGTACCATTGTACCTGTAGAAATTTCTAAAGAAACACTATCCCACCTTGGAAAGACAGGATGATAAGTATTAAGAAAACTGTACTAAAAATAGTTTAGAGCCGGGCACCGGTGGCTCATGCCTATAATCCTAGCTACTCAGGAGGCTGAGTTCTGAGGATCGAGATTCAATGCCAGCCCAGGCAGGAAAGTGCGTGAGACTCTTATCTCCAATAATCCACTCAAAAACCGGAAGTGGTGCTGTGGCTCCAGCAGTAGAGCACTTGCCTTGAGCTAAAGAGCGCAGAGACAGTGTCCAGGCCCAGTGCCCATGACTGACCAAAAAAAAAAAAAAAGTTTAGAAAAACAAAAATTCTCTTTTTTTGGTGGGGGGAATGAGGGTGGGGTGGGAGAGGTTTAGTGGGGGAGGGAAGGGGTCCGACTCTAGGCAGGCATTCTACAATTGATCCCATGTTCCAGCTTTATTTTAGTTTTCAAATACAGCCTTACATTCTTGACCTGGTCTGGTCTTAGACATCAATCCACCTGATCTCTGACTCCCAAGTAGCTGGGCTGACAGGCATGAGCCACCATGCCTGGCTAACAAAATGCTTCTTCAAAGAGGACTGCCAGTGTTTTTGTGATTGTAAATTGAACCATGAGGTCCTGGGGATTGGGATGTAGCTGCTGTGACTCTGACCTGCACACCGTGCAATCAGACGATGAGGCCTCCTATCAAGAATGAGGCAAGGGGGCTGGGAATGTGGCTTAGTAGTAGAGTGCTTGCCTAGCATGCATAAAGTCCTGTGTTCTATTCTATAGCACCACATAAATACAATAAAGCCAGAAGTGATCCTGTGGCTCAAGCCCCAGGACTGGCAAAAAAAAAAAAAAAAGAATGAGACAAGGGTGCAGGGGAAGGCCTTCATATACTCTAGTCTAATAGTATGATCTGTTTTCTAGAATATGAAACCATCCAATGGACCTGGTGTGTGTGGTGGTGTCACTTAGCAGCACAGACAGCTAAACCTGAGAATTGGCACAGTATGGTCTGTGATTAGATGCCATAGTCTCATTTCTTTGGCACTCTATTACCTACCACCTCTCAAACATGTCAATGAGTCTGTGTCAACGTTGTCCTTTACAAGACATTCAGGACATGACAACAACTTGCAGCTATCCTATGACTCCCCCACCACACTGGCCAAGCTCGATAAGCAGGGACTTGAGAATAACACAAACATCTTTCCCCTAATCCTTCTCATCAAAGGAAATAATCAGGACATGGTTCTTACCAGAGCCTAGCAGAAAGGCAATGAACAGGTGGTTAGTGACAGGATACTGAGATGTTCTGCCGAGTCACATAAACCACAGAAGATAGGACATAGTGAGAGAGAGTAAGCAATTTCACTGATAGACAAGCCTCTGAGAAGAAGCAACTGCTAAGTTCTGACTCCTTTAAAACAAGAACTGGCAGAAAAATTCCCAAGTATGGAAAGTGCCAGAAAAATCACTAGCTACAAAGCACACTAGCTGTAAATAATATTTTTTGATTTGTTATTTTTAGTGATTGTGGAGCTTTAACTCAGAACCTGGGAGCTATCCCTTTTGCTCAAGGCTAGCACTCTACCTTGAGCCACAGCTCCACTTCCAACTTCCAACTGGTGGTTAATTGGAGACAAGAGTCTCATGGTCTTTCCTGCCTGAGCTGGCTTTGAACCATGATCCCCAGATCTTAGTCTCCTGAGTAGCTAAGCTTGAGTCTCAGTCTTTCCTGCCTGAGCTGGCTTTGAACTATGATCCCCAGATCTCAGTCTCCTGAGTAGCTAGGCTTACAGGCATGAGGCACCAGTGCCAGACTAAGATTCTTTTTTTTTTTGGGGGGGGGTCCGGTCATGGGGCCTGAACTCTGGGCATGGGCCCTGTCCCTCAGCTCTTCAGCTCAAGGCTAGCGCTCTACCACTTGAGCCACAGCGCCACTTCCGGCTTTTTTCTTTTTGCTTATGTGGTG